GTTTCATGATTCAAAATTGGTTGGTTCCGGTTCTTTATCAGGTTACGATAATCTTTATTCAATTAATACAATTGCTTCTTATAATGAAACCTTGCATGTGAGTACTCAAAGTGTAAAGCAAAAATTAAACAGTGAGAATTCTGCCTCGTTGTGGCACAAGAGATTAGGTCACATCTCCAAAAGGAGAATTGAGAGACTTGTGTCGGACGGGATTCTCGACCCTCTTGACTTCACAGATTATGATTTGCGTGTCAACTGTATAAAGGGAAAACAAACCAATAAAAGGAGATTTCAAGCAAATAGAACTTCGGATGTCTTAGAACTTATACATATGGATATTTGTGGACCATTCCCTACGGGTTCTTGGAATGGTCAACAATATATTATAACGTTCATAGACGACTTTTCAAGATATGGCTACGTATATCTCATTCATGAAAAATCATAGTCACTGGATGTGTTCAAAAACTATAATACTGAAGTTGAGAACCAACTCGGCAAAATGATTAAAAGCGTCAAATCTGACCGTGGGGTGAATACTATGGCAGATATGACGGTTCACGTGAACAACGTCTAGGACCATTTGCTAAATTCCTAGAGGAATGTAGTATCGTCCCACAGTACACTATGCCGGGTTTGCCCACTATGAATGGTGTTGCTGAGAGACGAAACAAAACGCTTAAGGACATTGTGAGGAGTATGATTACTCATTCTACCTTACCAGAATCTCTCTGGGGTGAAGCATTAAAGACCGCAACTTATATACTCAACAGAGTTCCAACTAAGGCCACTGATAAAACCCCATATGAGTTTTGGAAGGGCAAGAGCCTAGTTTGAAGCATATACATATTTGGGGGTATCCAGCTGAGGCAAGGCCCTATAAGCAAAATGAAAAGAAACTGGACGCAAGGACCATCAGTTGCTATTTTATTGGATATTCTAAAAGATCCAGGGGTTACAAGTTTTATGATCCCACAACTAAGACAATTTTCGAGACAGAAAATGCTCGGTTCTTTGAGGATGTTGAGTTCGAGGGGGGAGAAAGGGTTACAGGCTTTGTCTTTGAGGAGGAATATGTTGAAATTCCTCCAATTGTCATTGACAATGATCAGGGTTCAAGAAGCAACTCTGGATCAAGACAATGTCATACCTCCCTCTCAAGATCAACAAATTATTCCAGAAGAACAAACTCTATAGCCTCAAGAACCAATGCCATTAAGAAGATTCACTAGAGAGAGGAGAAGTGCAGTTTCAGATGATTACATCGTATTTCTCCAAGAACATGAAGTTGACATTGGAATGGTGGAAAATGATCCGATCAACTTCCGTTAAGCCATGGAAAGTTCTAACTCTCAAAAGTGGCTCAATGCCATAAATGAAGAGATAAAGTTCATGAAGGACAATAACGTATGGGACCTCGATCTATTGCCTGAAGGTGCGAAACCCATTGGTTGCAAATGGACTCAAACAGGCGTCTCGTCAATGGTATTACAAGTTTCATCAGGTGATCATCTCATTTGGTTTTGAGATGAATTTGGTCGATGATTGTATATACCACAAGTTCAGTGGGAGATTTTTCTGATTTTATATGTCGATCACATATTGCTTGCCAGCAACGATATAGGCTTATTGCACAAAATCAAGAGATTTCTAGAAAAGAATTTTGAGATGAAAGATCTTGGTGACGCCTATTTTGTATTAGGAATTCAGATACACCGAGATTGTTCTCGGTATATTCTTGGGTTATCACAAAAGAGTTATATCGAATAGATACTTAAAAGATATGCTATGCAAGATTGTAAACCAGGTGACACCCCTGTGGCTAAAGGAGACAAGTGCAGCTTAAGTCAGTGCCCTAAAAATGACATAGAAATTAAAGAAATATAGAAGATTTCTTATTCCTCTGCTATAGGGAGTCTGATGTATGCTCAGGTTTGTACACGTTCGGATACAGCATACATTGATGGGATGTTAGGGAGATATTTAAGTAACCCGGGAATGGATCATTGGAAAACAGCCAAACGGGTTATGCGGTATTTACAGAAAACAAAAGACTACATGCTCACATACAGAAGATCGGATCAGTTGGAGATCGTCGATTATTCTGATTCCAATTTCGCGGGATGCCAAGATAGTAGGAGATCCACTTCAGGCTATATTTACCTGCTTGCTGGAGGTGCTATTTCCTGGAAGAGTGCTAAGTAGATACTTAGGGGTGTAAGCGGTCTGGTTTTACCGATTTTTGACAAATTTTCAAACCAAACCGTTTAAACCGGTTTGGAAAAAACCCAAACCTAAACCAAACCATTTTAAACGGTTTGAAAAAAACTCAAACCTAAACCTAACGGTTTGGTCCGGTTTTAAACCGTCGATTTTCCTGTATATTTTTTTACCTGTCTACTTTTACGCCATTAATTCAATATATATTTATATCTTACTAGTTACTAACAATAAATCTAAAACAAACTAGATATATCTACTATAAATTTAAGTACCAACTAAATCAAAGAAAAATCACAATAAACTTAAACATAGTTTTTTGTTCGCCATTTTTAAGCTAATGGCATTACGATACCGTTACAATAAGTCTACTAAGTTAATTATAAAGCCAAAAACATGAATGATGTCCAAATCGTGATCATATCTGCAAGAAAAAAGGCTATTGATTAGACAGAGAGAATAACCAACCACAATATTAAAGAAGTTATTTATAATATCTAAACATAACAATTATACAAGCTTACGGTTATATGTTGTTACGAACTCAATTTCTCGCATATACTCAAACATCAATTGTTGTCACGCATGATTCATTGTCTGCATAGTCAAACAAATGCATTCATTACATGATCATAGTATTAGATACTAGATAGATAAGAGAATCTTCAAAAATATGGTAATAGAAAATATGAATCACTTGCCACAACTTTAATTGAATCTCCATATTGGCGCAGCACTATAGGTTCCTTCTTAGTTTGCAACCAATTCTTTCCACATATACAAGCCTCAACCATCCGTGCACCTAATGAACTCCTAAAGGAATCAAGTATCCGACCTCCAGTTGAGAATGCAAACTCAGAAGCAACTGTAGAAATTTGAATCGCTAATACATCTTTGGCAATTTGGGAGACAATCTTATACTTAGGAGCATTTATTTTCCACCACATCAAAATGTCGAATGGCTCCTCAGTCAAATCATCACATCGGTCGGACAAGTAATCTACCAAATCATTTTTCTCCAACCTAGCATCTCGATTAAGTCTCGCTTTAAAGATTGAAGGGATGGGTCTAGAAATACCCAAAGTAGGTTGTTGACTTTGACTACTAGTTTGAGACATCTCATTTGATGGTAGAGGCATCATTTCCTTGTAGCAGTTATATAACCTGTGAATTGAATTTTCTACTTTTGCTAACATTTTCTTAGCAATTTCTTCATTATACATGATTTTAAAGTCAAATTTAAGTAATTCCAACTTGCATTTCGGGTCAAGAACTGTTGCCACGAATAACAAATCATTAAACTTTTCATGATTGCCCCAATACTTATCATGTTTTCTTCGCATGCTAATTGCCATTTTTCCCATCAAACTATTAGGATCTTTAGCCAATTCATTCAACTCCCCATGAATTTCACAAAGCTCTTGAAAAAAAGTGTTAGATGTTACATATAAAGAGCCACTAACTTTCAATGTCATATCATAGAATGTTTTAAGAAACTTCACAAAAATTTGTGCTTGATCCCATTCGAATGGAGTGGGTAAACCACTTCTTTCATCGCCTCTTCTCTCTTCATCAAAGTACTTTGTGTAATTTGCATCACTTTCTAAAGCACCAAATGCTTTTCTAAATTTCATTGCAGTGTCTAACATCAAGTAGGTAGAATTCCATCTAGTAGTCACATCTAAACACAACAAAGCTCGAGACTCGATGTTAACCTCCTTGCAACTCTCCCTGAACCTTTTCAATCGTGACGGGGAAGACCTAGTAAACCTTACAGCATTGCGAATTGATGAAATAGAACTACTAATTTCTTTTAGACCATCACAAACAATGAGATTGAGAATATGAGCACAACACCTCATATGAAGCATTTCTCCATCAAGAATTAGACCATGTTTACTCTCCTGAAAACTCTCTTTCAATTTCGATATTGCAACATCATTAGATGAGGCGTTATCGACAGTCACACAAAAAATCTTTTTAATTCCCAAATCATGAAGACAAGAAATTAACTCCTAAACCACCATATTACCCTTATGACTGGGGACTTGAATGAAGCTTATAATACGTTTTTGAAGGATCCAATCATCATCAACCCAATGAGCAGTCAAACACATGTAACTAATATTTTGGATGGATGTCCAACAATCAGTAGTTAAACAAACCCTATGTCTACTCAATTATTTCTTCAGTTTCTTCTTTTCATCAAGGTACAATTGATATATATCTTTTGCCACTGTAACTCTTGAAGGAAATTCAAATGTTGGAAAAAAATACTTTGTATATAATCGAAAACCTTCATCTTGTACATGTCTAAATGGTAACTCTGCCAATAAGAAGTACTTAGCAATCATTTCTCTAGTCCCTTTTTGAGTGAACTTAACAACTTGTCCAGAACTAGTAATGCCTTCTAAAACATCATTTTTAGATTTAGTGTAATAACTCATAGTCTTTTGCTTTTTCTCTGGAACCCTATATGGATATTTCTTACATAAGCACTCAATATGGTTTCGCAATGTACTAGTCCCTGCATTTTTGTTGCCATACTTGTAAAGTTGCCCACAGTAAATACACTCTGCCTTTTCATCATGCAGTTTAAAATGATCCCAAACATCAGATCTTTTACCTCCCTTTTTACCCTTAGTGAAATCTGGGTATTGATCAACTTCTACATTATCAATAGCTACATTTGGCTCAAGATAATTTTCTTCTTCAAAAAGGTCAACATGATCCATATTTGTGATTCTAACAATAGCAGATTAAAATATAGATATGCCAATATGTCAACAGGTGCTAAATCTTCCCCCTAAACAACAATAAACCAAGATACGCAGTATATAGCTGGCGTAGTTAAATTCCTGGATCATCCATAAGAAACAAAATTGAAGTAAAACAAACTAAAAATCGGAGGCGCATGTGTGTGATTTAAAAAAACATTATATTGTCTATGCATGTATATGGATATAAATAGCTAAGAAATTGAATTAATCAGTGTTTAATTTTTTCTGAAAGAATACTTGATTACCAAGTGGATATCTACTTGTGAACTTGGAAGCCCAGTTAGAGTAGTAATTATTTTTTGTGAGCAGGAGGTTGCATTTAAATGTATACTAGTGAAATAGAACATTCTCTTGAGCAAAAAGTAGTTTCCAAATTTTTTTAAGTTAGAATTTTAATCCTCTTTTAATGAGTAAACTAGTAAACAAGTTATGCACAAAATTGATAAGGGATGAATGATAGACACGTGGAGATAGTGAAAGTACCTAAATCTATTAGAATTTTAATCCTCTTCTAACTCTATCCATCTGTCTACATAACTACTATAAATAATACTCATAATCAATACAACATCCATACATTTAATTTTACTTCCAGACACAATTGACAAAGGCAAACACGTTGTCATGGCCGCACAAGAAAGTTCTAATTTTCATGTTGAAGAAACTATCCCGCCTGGTTACCGATTCATGCCGACAGACAAGGAGCTGTTACACTACTTGAACCTTAAAATTCTGAATAAACGTATATCGACTGATGCCATAAAAGATGTTGATGTCTACAAGTACCATCCCAACAATCTTTGCCGTAAGTTTCTTTATTTCTTGATGTTTCTTGGTGGTTCTTTTTATATTATCTTCCTCAGTTATCTTTTATATTTACATTCTTTGGAATTTATTAATGTGATTATCAGAAAGCGCGATGAGTGGAACACGTGAAGGCTACTTTTAAAGGATGTCGGCCGGACCGGACTGCCGCTGATGGTTACTAGAAAGCCACGGGGGGTGACATCATTGTACAAAGTAAAGGCCAAGAAGTTGGACGGAAAAAGGTGCTTGTCTATTATGAAAGAAAATCTGATAATAGCAATAAAGGAACAAAGACTAACTGGATAATGCATGAGTTTACGAGTCATCAAATGAAGGACGTCGCATGTTCTTCTACAAATGCAATTCCAGATGACAAGATGGTATGTAAAAGTTTTCAGATTCTATGGTTAACTAATTGCCATAAATTACAGCAAGCAATTAAATTATAGCAAGCAATTACATTTTGGGCTCATAAATTATAGCAAGCAATTAAATTTTTTTTTCCATTTATAAGAGATTTAAAGAACTAAATTTATTAACTTAAAATCAAAAAATAAAACAAAGAAAATGAAATCAAATGACAATGTGAAAATATTCCAAAATTGATGACCCAATCACAGTTCACACCTTATAATAAAAGATTAAAAGTACTCAAAAATTGCTCACCTTAGAACAATTGCTCACTTCACTTGCTGTTAGATTCCTTGAACAGTTAAACACGGATGGCAAGATTAATCATTAATGGATGAATTTCAGAATTTCAATTACCCAAAAACAGTTAAACAAGGAAGACCCTGCACAAGAAGATAATGGAGATAAGGCTGACAGAATCTTAGATCGAGGTTGTGTTGAAATTAAACCATTCACCACAAACCAATTCGAGTGAAAGATCAACATAACAACCCAATAGATTAAAGCATGATTTTACACAAATATATCAGATATCTTCCAAGTTTGGTGAGTCGGTGACATTAACATAGAATATGACAGATCACATGGTTTGATACTCGTAGAAAATGAAATAATAACAGAAAACGAATTAATACCCATTTTGAATCTCACCCAAAACAAAAAATTGAATTAATAACATTTCCACAAAGAAACAGGCAATCAACAGAAGATGAGGATTCAACATAATTTCTATGTTTAGCTAACAAATTATCTCTAAAAACGTGTAATCTAAAGGAAATACGATTATAAGCAACAACAGTAAGAAAAATTACCTTTGAAACCCCAAGAGAAAAGGAAAATCAAGATGAGCCAGTATGGATCAAATCAGCAAAAATAATCTGCAAAATTGCAAGAAGAGAGTCAGCGGCGTCGGCGACTCGGCGGAGAGAGTCAGAGAGTGAGAGACGGAGAAACTTGGAAATTTGATTCTAGACTTTTAGGGCTTTGTAACTTTTGTTATCGTGTTTGCCTGTTTGGGTTTTATGACTTTATCTTTCCTCTTTTTTTTCCTTTAATCCATCGGATTGGGTCGGGTCGAGTTTATGACTTTATGTGTTATTTATGGTCTTATAGCCCACATAAAGTCTTAAAATTTCAAAAAAAAATTATTTTTTAATTTTTTAATTTTTATATATTTTTTCGCCGGTTTGGTTTGGTTTTAAACCGAAATTAAAATTCTCAAACCTAAACCAAATCGTTTTGACCGGTTCGGTTTGGCTCAAAACCATTTCTTTGACCGGGTCCGCGTGGCACCAAACCGACGGTTTCTAAAATGCGGTTTCAGTTCGGTTTTTGCTTACAGCCCTATAGATACTCATAGCTACTTCCACCATAGCAGCGGAGTTTATGGCGTGTTATGAGGCATCAAATCATGGAATATGGTTGCGTAATTTTGTCACTGGGCTGCGAATTGTGGACAATATAGAAAGACCACTTAAAATATTTTGTGACAATAAATCAGCAGTGTTGTATTCCAATAACAACAGGAGCTCGACGAAGTCAAAACATATAGAGATCAAATTCCTGGTTGTTAAAGAAATATTTCAGAGTGAACAAGTATCAATAGAGCATATTGAAACAAACTCCATGGTTGTGGATACACTTACTAAGGGATCAATATCCATGGTCTTTTATGAACACACTGCTCATATGGGTGTAATGTCTCTTGAAGATATTTAGTTTCAGTGGGAGTTTGCATTTTTGTGCTAGACACATATATTGTCATTTTGGATACAGTTTAAGGATAAAGTTATTTTCGGTTATAAGGTTTATTATCTCTGAACTTGTTTAAAATGATCTCACTAAGGTATTAAGGTGGACCAGTTGGAAATAGGCATGTTACATATCACATTACATGTAATTTCCATGCTACACATCCATGATTGATCTATGTCATTCGGTTGTATCGATATATGTGACCATTGATGGGTTTAGCTACATAAAAGTAGCGAAAGCCGCTTTGATCCTATATTGATATGATTGATGGATGTGATTGTTTGGGGATACATTCGGTAATGATAGCAAAATTCTAAATACTCATAAGGTTATGTTTAATTCACAATTATAAGGTTACACATATAGCCCAAGTGGGAGACTGAAAGGATTTTTAATCCATTGGTGAGCTTATATGTGTGAATAATTGTGTGTTAAATTAAAGGCTATCAAATTCGGTTAATCCCTATTAAAGTGATCTAATAAGGCTTCGATTTTTGGGTTTTAATGTATCCAATTAAAGTGTGGGTTTACATATGTGTAGAGACCGGGCCTAAGTCCTAATTCTATGATGGGCCGAATTAGGTCAAAGGGTGTCGCTATATAAATACGGTTATGGTCCCCAGATCACACATACGTATTATTCATTTTCTACTGCATCCCATCACAGAGAAAAAAAAGGAGACTGCGTGTAGATTTGGAAGACAAGACCGCGTAATTCATTATTGCAAATAACCATGTCTGATTCAGGTACACTTCCACTATAGTTCTTCAATTTCTTGATGATTTAACATGAAAGATCCGGTAATTTAAAACAATTAATAATCCTACACTATTATGTCCCATTTAAATATTAGCCACCCAACTTCTTTCGTGTTCTTCAGCCTCCATTAACAACCTCATCTAAGCCGCATCATACTTTGATGATGAGCCTCTACTTGTAGTCTCTGTAGATCTGTCATCACTAACTTCACGCTGTTATCCAAATAATGTAACTATTAAGTCTTTTCCTGAATTTTCTGCTATAGCTACTTCAGAGTTTGTGTTTGGAAGTGCAATTCTTGTTGGCGTGCAAGCACTACCAATCTTAGATGATGCTTGTTACATTGACTATGCACCAATTAATCTTGTCACTATCCTTGATGTTAGTGGTAGAGTGTCTGGCTCAAAGTTAAACTTTCTTAAGCTTGCTGTTTGTAACTTGGGACCTTTTGACCGGCTTACTATAGTTTATTTATCTAAAAGTGCTCACATAATGTTCCTCAGTGTAGAATGACTTAAATGGGTCATGAAAATGCTACAATGGCTGTTAATTTACTTATTGCAGATGGTGGGACTAACATTGTGGAAGAAATCCAGAAGAGGGCATGAGTTCTTGAAGAAAGGCTTGAAAGAAATCCAATAGCAAGTATTGTTCTCTTATTTGATGGAAAAGATACTTATAATGATATGAACTACAACCACTGTCCCGAGAACCAGATTTTCTCAAATTCGATACATGATCTAGAATATCTGAATCCGCAGCCTATTTTCATCTGTCCCACAGGAAAAACTCAAAATGAGGGTCATCCACCTACTTTTTCCATCCTCAATTTTGGGTTTAGTTTAGATCATGATTCTTCTGATATGCATTCTATATCTAATGCATCATGTAGAACCTTTTCCTTTATTGAATCAGTTAGCATGGTGCCAGATGCTTTTGCTAGGTGTATCGGTGGTTTCCTTAGTATTATGGCTCAGGAGCTTCAGCTTATTATTAGGCTAGCATCCCCTGGGGTTCAAATTGGAATGATTCCTTTCGAAAGATATGCAAATGTTTTTTTTGAGGGAGGAAGCAAAGGTATGATTTGTTGAAGTTGGTTGTTCAAAACCAACAAATTAAAGCCAAAATGGATGGTGGCCGCATATGGATGAAACTGGTCGGTGGCTTCTGTGAAAGACAAAATGGACGGTGGATGGTGCTGAAATTAAAAACAAACGGCCACATGAGCCATTTGGTCATGCGGTCGCATGGCCACTTACCGAGAGTTTATGGGCTGGTTACATTTAAACCATGCGACCACATGGAATTATGCCATGCGGTCGCATGGTAGCATTTGTGACCGCTGGCTAGCCCTTTTTTAACCACTTTCATTTCAAATTTGGTGACCTTTCACTTGGTTTTTGAAACCATTTCGTGTACATGATGAAGGTCTATAAATAAGTGAAGCCATGTTCAAGGAAAATAACAAGAAAAACATCTTGAAATTCATATATTGTTCCACAATTATTCAAATCCATGTTATAACTCATATTCATTTATTCTTTATTGTGTTCATAAAATTTTAGCGAAAAATTTCTCGTACTTTGTTATTTTCTGCATCAAGGCTTGTTAAAATCTTTCAAACCATTTTCCATAACACCCTTAAGCATCTCATTTCATATGGAGAAGGGACAAATATAGTTTGAGGACAACGATCCCGTGTTCAAGCCTCAAATTCGTTCTTGACGTATTTCGTGATTTCTATTCATTTTGTTTCTATAATTTTGTTGTTATTTCTTCTCCAATCCCTTATTTTCCAACATGATTACTGTTGGAGACTTATATGTAGATGACGAGAAAGAACATAAAGTGTGCAAGTTGGTGAAATCTTTATATGGTCTGAAGCAAGCACCAAAGAAATGGCATAAGAAGTTTGACTTAGAAATAATATCATTCGGATTTAAACGTAATATCGTTGATAAATGTTTATATTCTAAAGTTTGTGATGATTATGTAGCATTTATATGCTTGTATGTTGACGACATGCTGACTATGAGTAATTACATGGACGAAATAGAAGAAACAAAGAGGTTTCTTTCTTCCACATTCAAGATTAAGGATCTTGGACAAGTGGATACCATTTTAGATATCAAAGTCACAAAGACTAGTGTGGGTTACTATCTAAGTCAATCACATTATATTGAGAATGTGATAAATAAGTTCAAGCATTTGAACATAAATGAATGTAGTACCCCGATTGATCCAAATTCAAAACAAATAAAGAATGATGGAAGGGCGATTGCTCAATTGGAATATGCAAGTGCTATAGGGACTCTTATGTATCCTGTTCAATGTACAAGACCGGATATAGCTTATACAATAAGTAAACTTAGTAGGTTTACTAGCAATCAGAGTAATGATCATTGAAAGGCTATTGTGAGAGTTCTTGGATACTTAAAGAAAATCAAAAACTTGGGCCTACAATATACTAAATTCCCGACGATATTGGAAGATTTTACCGATGCTAGTTGGATATCTAGCACGGGTGAAAGAAAATCCACTTCGGGTTGGGTAGTTACTCTTGGAGGAGGTGCTGTTTCTTGAAAATCAAAGAAACAAGCATGTATAACACACTCGACCATGGAATGTGAATTTGTAGCTTTATCGGATACTAGGAAAGAGGCTGAGTGGTTTAAGGATTTTTTATATGAGATACCTTTGAGATCGAAGAATATCTCTTCAATACGTATCATGTGTGATAGTCAAGCCACGTTAGCAAAGGCATATAACGGGGTATACAATGGAAAGTCTAGACATATGAGTCTGAGGCATGACTACATAAGGAGATTAATCAAAGATAGAATAATTTCCCTAAATTATGTAAGGTCAATTGAGAATTTAGCGGATCCTTTAACTAAAGCACTAAATAGATATTAGTGGCATCTACTTCGAGTAGGATGGAGTTGAAACTATTTAACTAA